AAAAGTAATGCACCAAGAATATATTTATTATTCGTGAGAAATTAAAAAACTCTATCCTATCCCGCGGATCACGCGCGGATCCCGCGCGGCTGCGCGGGATTTTTAAAAAACCGCGATTTGCCCATCACTAACGGTACGTGTAAGTAAAAACCATGATAGTACGTAAGGATTATAAAAGAAAAAATTGGTCAAACCCAAGTTACTATATATGTTTACATTGGCACCAGAAGTTGAAAATTAAAATTATTCTAACAATGCGGAAAAAAATGTTCACAATTTTGGATTATAAAATTTTATTTATGTCTTACTCAAAAATATTACTAGTCGCTTCATTGTGGCATCAAAATAAACTTTCAAAAAATCTATATGGATCTTTTTTTAGAAGGCATATTATATTATAAATTAAATTGTAAATGCTTTCTTTTTCACGCCGTATCTAAATAAAATACTGATAATATTTATTTATGATTTTTTATTTTATATATCGACATATATGTATGCATATAGTTTAGAGTTTTCAAAGTATTAGACCAGCTTAGATATGAAGAGAATTTAATTATGGGGTTAATCTCATTAAAGAAAATTATTGTGATTGAGTTGTTTATCTATAAAGTTTTGGTTTATGGGTTCGCCTTCGCGCATACTTATTAGTTTTTTTGTAAGCTTCTTCTTTGAAGTCTAAAAATTATATCGATATGATTTGCTTGATTGATTATCATGGGCGATCACGGGTAGATCTATAATAATTAGCCAATTAAATGAAAAATGACGCGTGTATTTTATTTGTACGATTTTCAAAGCTTACGTTTCCTGATCAACTAACCTCTATTATAAACATACATGCGTAAATTTGCAACCGGAATCTAATTTCAAGTTTTCATTTCCACAATGTGCAAATCATACAAGGTTTTTCCAATCCATTGTTTTGAAATTATTATATTTTGTAATCTAAGGTTTTTTTTCACATTCATTTTTTCGTGTTAGAGATCTAATTTGAATTAACATTTCCGGTAATAAATATACTATATTTATTATTGTACAATGTGATTCATCTTTAGATACCTTACACAAAATATTTCGAACTTTTTTCTTACGAGAAGTGGTTACTAAAACATTACATTTCCACAATCGTTGAAAATTACATGTACAAACAAAAAAAGATAAGGTATAGTTAACATCAAAATTAATTACAAAATTTCGCATCAATTAGCAATATAGATAGATAATCAACGTCATAAATTAGTGAATATGTTGTTCCTCAGACTAACGCGTGCCTCAGATCACAGCAGATGTAAATTGTTAAGTGAGGTGCGTAACCTATCGATCGGTCAATAAGCACAAAAAAATTATATGCATAAAAATTATTGAAGACTGAACGTGCTGAAAAGCTTAGACGAAAACTTATAAAGAATATACCGCGAAAATTTAGGCAGAAAAAAAAAAAAAACTATTTGTATAGAGAAAAATGTACGTATTAATTGGAAATAGAATGTGCTGACAAAGAAATTCAAAAGCAATGAGGTGCGATTAAATGTAAAAGAATGCTACTGTTGGCTGTAAAATACCAAAGATTCAAGAATGCTAATGAAGGTAAGACGATTCCAAAGTGATTCAAAATATAGAATACTACTGGAGTTAAGAAAGGCACTAAAGTGATTTAAGTAAAGAATGCTGCCAGTGAGAAAGCGGCAAAGAGATCCAAGAACAAAGTTTCATATAAAAGGTCTTATTCAATTTATTTTATCACAGATGACGTTACGCACGATCTGCATCTGAGGTGCGTCAGCTGCAATCTGAGGCAGGCATTAGTCTGAGGCACAACAAATACAAGTTAATAAGAAATGTTAGTGACAGTCCCTCATTTAGCTAACACATTTACCTTCCTAAAATTCATAATTGTTGTCCAAGTTTTGAACATGTAAAAATAAATATAACATCAAATTTAGGTTCGTATGTTTGTGTCTGACCACTTAATAATTTGTCTGGTTGCCTTTGCTGTAATTACTTGTCTAATTGGTTTTTTTTTCTATAAACTTTGACATAAAGGATAACATTACCGTAATCTTGGAAAATGTTAGAAAAACCACAGAAATATTACTAGAAATCAAAGAATGGATAAAAGATAACACCACATATAGGCATTATCAAAAAGAAGTCACAATTAATGAATGGAAAGATCATTTTGACACTTATAAAAATATGGATTACCCACAAGTTATGTCCATTAATGTGGAAAATGAATGTAAATGAAGAAGATCGCGAATATCAATTAGCCTTTTATACAAGCTATGCCTTAAATGATCTATGCCACAGTGGTATAATACAATCAACAAATCTGAAGACATGATGCATATGCCACAAATTTATTGATTGCTAGTATGCATGGATTATTTAGAGTGTCATTAGTAAAGGAGAGAATCGATTCTATAATAATCGTTTTAATCGTTAATCGAATTCTTATTTTTGAATAAACAATTTAATCGTTTCTACAAATGATTAAATGTTCAAGAATTGGTTCTGAATCTGGAATCAAATTTAAAGAATATAATCGTTTTATATCATCTATTTAGAAATCTAAAATTTTATAAATATTTTCTTTGTTTTCAGATACGTAAGAAAATATAATAACTATACCAGAAACGGAGATAACGAAGTGTATGGTTTACTGGCAAGTTAAGTGGAGTGAACAATTCCTGGCCCCTGATTGGATAATGTATAAGACTTTTGTTTATACATCGATATTTAAAGTACTGTAAAGCCACAGTGGCGTGCAAATTCAGAGCGTTAAAGGCGGAAACGTGGAGGGAGTCTGAAAGTAAAGGCTTAATAAAGGTAACTTGACTTGAGTGCAAATTTGGAATTTCATTGTCAAGTCTCTGATTTAAATATAAGGTAGTAGTCGCGTTAACAAAAGCAAATATGGGGATGTTCACAGCAAAACAAGGCTTAGGGACTCTATAATATATAGTCCTGAAGCCTTGTTTTGCTGTGGGCATTCCTATATAGTAGTTAACAAATAATCCAAGTAGCGTACAAACGAGAATTGATTTAGCATCTCATTAATATATTGTGAAGCATTTGATATACGCTACCGGTGTGGGACGGGTATCCTTATGTCCAGAAAATTCCGAGTTGTCGGCCAAAAAAATATGGGTCGTAGTATCTCAAAAATTCACTACATATCTAACATTAACAATTGCGTCCTATAAATAAAATTTCATTCTGAAAATTTTTACTTAGAGGTCGGAAGTTAGTTATCATAGTAAATTTTTTGTGTTATTTACGTTTTTTTACAATTTCTTTATGTTTTTCGCGTTTGTTTTGTTACACAAAATCCTGTGATTTTATTGGATCCGAATAAGGTCGGAAGTGATCATCAGCCCGGGATTTTCTGGACATAAGGATACCCGTTGTGAGCCGCGAAACGTGATCTCGGGAGCACGTGGAAGGAGGTGGTCGATGTGGCGCAGTAACAATCAACGGCTATG